GATTCCTGCCTTTCAGCCTTGAACAGAGGAGAAGGGAATCAATACAGTTTGCTTTGTAGGGATCTTAACCAATTTCCCATAAAGTTTTCCAAAATGTCCCTTTCACAAAAGACTAATAATGGTGTACCAGCTCTAGGTCATACTGAAATCCTCCAAATGCCCCTCTTCTATATTCCTCCTTCTCCTCCGTCACCATCAACCCTCCCCCCACCCTACTCTCCCAAAATAACCCAGCATCTGGACAATTCTCTATAAAAGAGAAACTCCTTTACTTATAGTTCTAACTCAAAATGCAGATGGAGTCTCTTCAAGGTTTCTGTAAAAAGAAAAAAAAAGCCCCTGTGGACAAAGACCAAACACTAGAAAACCTCAACCCCAAAGGTCATTTTTCTCCAAAGTTATGGGCACTTGAATACAGATGAGAAAGAAAACAGTTGGCAGGGCTGCTGCAGAGCAGTGAGGAAAAGACTACCCAGGAGTTTGATGGATGGGCACAGAGAACTCAGGGAGGGAGGGGAGACAGCAGCCAGGACATCAGCTTCCCAGATGGGGAGAGCTGGGCTGCCCCCACCCTCCCTGGCTGTCCAGACAGCTGAGGTTATTTCCTCCTCCCCATGTGCTGTGGCCTATACCTCATTTTCCTCACTTACATTTGCTTTGGTCTCTTCTGAACACTGAGGTGGTGAGAGAACTTGCCCCAAGGTTAAAGAGGCACAATTAAAGATCTCACCAAAGCTTTCAGGCTGCTCTCTGGGCCTCAGGGTCACAGTAACCACCATTCAATGCACATCCACACCAAAATGAGCAAAACGAACTACTGTTAGTGAGGACAAAGGAATCACGGTTCTCCTAAGCCAGCTAAAAATCTACTTCTATATCATGAAACAATCCTAAGAATGAAACCATATTTCTGAAGTTTAGAGCCTCTAAAACATTTTAAGCCATCTAAATTAATATTCAAATGAAAAAATGTTTTCAAATGTAAAACAGTCTCATATTCAACCAATACCTACCGTGTTAATCTGAACTGAAACATGTAAAACAAATAAAATGAGTGCAAAAACCAGAAAATGAAAGCCTATTACTGGCATTCACCTAGCTGAACAAAATACAAAAATAAACAGCAAAAAAAATGATGACAAATGGAAAATATCAGATGTTTACCATGTTTATAATCAATATTGTTACTCTCCCGGTACAAGAGAACTTACACCTGTTAATTCCCTTAGGCTCGTCTCAATAAGCCGACTCAGAGACTTCTGAAAACCAGGGACAGATGAGAGAAATGAGCCCCACACCATGCCTTCAAACAGGCCCTGGCCCAAACCCCATTTCTACCTCCTACACACCCAAGTGTGATATATGAAACACTCTCAATAGGAACCAGAAGTGTACTATGCAGATGTCTTAGATCTTGAAAGCTCCTGGGAGCTGGTCAGGAGAGGAGCTGGGAAGTTCTCATCCACAATTCCAGCCCCACCCCCAGGAGGCAGGCAGACTATACCCATAAAGAATATCTGTCCACTGGACAGCCATCAAGCCATTCTGAGAGAGCACTAGGGAAGGCTGATCTAACTTATACACCATATTCTAATCCTTTCTCTGCCTCTTCTGGAAGTTCATCCTCATCCCCAATCTCAATCTTTCCTGCTTCTATTTAAATTCATTCTTTTTTGTCCTTATTAAAATGAAGATCAAGTTATTATCATACTCTTTGGAACAACTACTCCTCACATGATGAATATATTTAGTCTGGACAAGAAGTTAGTCACTAAAACTATATTCAATTTCTTTTCTTTCTAAGTCCTATTTTTGTGCCTCTAATGATTTTCGTTCCTTTCCTGAGCTTTTCCAATTTCTCCACTTCCCTTGTTGACCAGAAGACCCAAACAACACAGAGGCTCTAATGAGAATCTGACCTATGGTGACCTTGATGGAAGGATACTGTCCTATCCGGGACCGACAACTTTTCCAATCCATCATTCATGCTTTCTCTGAATCTTATCAGGATCCTGATACCTGCAAAACCTTAAAAAAGATACCACAACCCCCGCAAAAAGGAGGCTTTAAGTTGCCACTAACAAGTCTCAAGCTGCCCATCCTTTCCTAAGGGTGGTCTGATGAGTAGTCCAACAGAGATGTCTGGCCCCAAACTCACCTTCCCACCAGTTGATCACAGCATTGTGGAGACTTAATGAAGTCGAGATGCATTACATTTATCACTTGCTCCAGATCCACTCAAATCCATCATTATGTCACAGCAAGAAGTTAGATTGATCTGACAGGATTTGCTCTTCTTCACAAACCCATGTACGTTATTACTCAGTACCCCATGCTCTTCTAGCTGTTTGCTGATTGATTATCTGACGATCAGGGCAAGTATCTTCTCCAGAATCACAGTAAACTAACGGGTCTATAATTTCCAAGATCATTCGTATTCCTCTTTTAAAGATAAGCAAGACAGCAAATGCTTCTTCCCGAGTTCGCTAAAGCAACAGCTAATGCTTTGCTAATAATGAACCAGGGCAGCCAATTCCTTAAGTGCCCTTGGAATCACATCATCAGGGTTCATTGATTCTCGAGATAATCTTTAATCATGCCCAGGTCCTGGTAAACAGCATAAAGCCCTACCTCAGCCTGGATCTGGAAGGCCTCGGTACCTAAGTCTGGGAAAGAAATTGGTGACACAAGTGATTTAAATTTGTACTGCATTGTGTCTTCAGCATTGCAATAAATAAATAAATAAAAAGAACAAAAAATAAAGAGAACAATGCTCTTGAAAGAGAAATGAAAGGTGACATCGACGGACTTTCAAATTGGACATGAATCAGGTTTCACTTTTAGGAACACTGGCAGAACTCTCTGCAGGACAAGAGAGCTATATAATTATGTGAGTTTATAATCTAACTGAAAAGATAAGAAACATATATACATAAGCATGTGCCAGGAAGCAGAAAGCAGTAAATGCCATAATGGAGGTGGAAAGTGATTATGAATCATGTGCAATGGAGATATGTTGTATTTTAGCCTCACATTATACTAGGGCTTACTCAGTGACTGAAACCCACAACAGTAAGGGAAATAATATGGTGTATTAGGACATGGACCCCTGATTCCCTACCTGCAAGAATCTGCATAACCAAAATTCCCAACCCACCATCCAGACACACAACCATGCCAGAAAAACTCCTGTAGTTTGGGGCGGCAGAGAAGATGATTCCACAGCACAGACAGGAGCAAGACGCAAGAAAGTAAGTGTGGTGGTGGTAGTTCCCAAGCTTCATTCCCTTTCGCCCAAAGTTCCTTTCCTTAACACATTCTCCTTATCTAGTTCCTGTCTTCCCAGGCTTTAGTAGGCCTGATTTCAATGCCCCAAAGGTAGACCACTGCTTTAAGGGAGAACAGGAAAGAAGAGAAGAGAAAGGGAAAAGTAAAAGGATTGTGGTGTCTGCTTTATATAAAATAATCTACCATTCTTTTTTTTTTTTTCCTTTTTTGTCTTTTTTTCGTGACCGGTAACGGGATCGCAACCCTCGGTGTCGCGCCCATACCGCGACCGGCAACGGGATCACAACCCTCAGTGTTGCGCCCGCACCAAGCTCAACCAGTGAGCGGACTGGTCTCTATATGGGATCCGAACCCTTGGCGGGAGCACTGCCGCACTCCCAAGCGTCGCACTCTACCAAGTGCGCCACCGGGCCGGCCCCAAAATAATCTACCATTCTAAAGACAGACCCTTTCCTGGAAAAAACCAACCATGAGAATGAATTTAGTTTATCTTCAAACAGACCCACTCCTCCTTGTCTCCCAAATGCCCAATACTGAGGTCCTCTTCTTCCTCTCCTGCTTACTGTTGAAAGCTGCTCCCAGAGCAACATGTCTATGCATCCCCAAATTACATACCCTATTACTGAGCCCTGCAGGGAAGTTACAGTACTAGAGACAGGCATACGAAGGTGCCCACGCTACAATGATCAGCTACATCAACCCCCCAATCATTCCTTCAAAGCAAACACTAAGAACCTCAATATCACCTAGCATAGGTGCCCCTCTGCTGCTAATCCAAGCTTCTTAGTTGCATTACCTTAGAAGGTAAAAGGTCTTTGGACACAGTTAGTGACTAAGGAAAAAAAAGCAAGCAAAGAAATTTTCCTTTCTAATGCCGTATAACAAACCATCCCAAAACTTGTGGCTTGAAACATCAATAATTATTTGTGAGCCAGGAATTTGGGAGTGGCTCAGCTGGCTGGTCTAACTCAGGGTCTCTCCTGAGGTTGAGGTCAGATGTCCACTGGGGCTGCATTTACCTGAAAGCTTGACCGGGGCTGGTGAACTTGCTTCCAGGATAGCTCAATCACATGACTGGCCAGTTGGTACTGGTTTTTGGCTAAGAGCCTCAGTTACTGTACACATGTGCATCTCCATAGGACTGCTTGAGTGTCCTTGGAGCATGGCAGCTGGCTTCCCCCAGAGCAAGTGATCCAAAAGAGCAAAGCAGACTGCAATGCTTTTTATAACTTAGACTCAGAAGTCATGCGTTGTTTCTTCCACTATATTCTATTGATTACACAGAGCTATCTCTGATTCAGTGCAGGAGGGGAACTACCAAGGGCATAGATACCAGGCAGTAAGGACCACTGGGGGTCATCTTGGAGGCTGGCTACCACAGTACTCTTTAAAAGAACCAGCAGCAGGGGCAGGAAAAAGGAGGAGGAAAGGGAAAGGAAAGGAAAAAGGGAAGTTGGAAGAGAAGGAAATATTCTGATTCCCAAAAGCTGAGACTAGAGAGAAACAATGTGCCCAGTTCTCCCCAGAGACTCCTCAGTTCTACCTTACCCTAGCATACCTGAACCAAGTCCTGTTTCCTAGGCAGGAATTCCAAATGAGAAGCTAAAAGCCAGGAAGATGTGAAAAAGTTCCTCTGAATCCCAGGACGCAAGACTATCCTCCCTCCCTCCTTGCCCACCCCACATTTTCTGAATCAATGATGCAACAGTTACCTGAGGATGAATCTGTGGCTTGTCACACGTGGCCTCAAAGTCCAGCACTAAAAAGTAGTGATACCTCTGGGGAGGGAAGGACACCATTGCCGCCATGGATGCGCCAAAGCCGTGGGCCGCCAGCTTTCTGGTGGATATGGAGCAGAACTCCGGAACACCACAGGGAGAAAATAAGTGGGAGCCCAACACTTTTCTTGCTCTTGAAAGTAAATACGAAGAAAATCGAGCTGCTCCAGTCTGTAAAGGTGTTAGCATTGAACATCCAGAAGCATCTAAAACTTAGGGGAGGAGAGTTAAAAACAAAAACAAAACAAACAAACAAACAAAAAAAGAAACAGAGAGCCTGGGTTACTCCCCTCCCGCTATGGCCCTATTCCATCTAGTCTTCAGGAACATCCACACAACATGAGCCACTCCCCAGTGTTTCTGGTCCCCTTTTCTAAATCACAGTATTTGTTACTAAAGTTCAAGACCCTAACACCAGCACCTGCAATATTATTACAGCTCTGAGTCTCCCAGATCATTCTCAAAACAACATGCAACACTGGTCTTCATCTTTAAATGGAGCTCTAAAGTCCAAAAGAGAGAAAAATTCTGCGGTCACTTCTCAGGTGGCAACTGTTAACATTAAAGTTAAGGGTCTCAAAGTAACATGAGGTGACCCAGTTGCACAATCAGTGCTGGGAGCTAAGTAGACTGAGACAAAGAACAGAACATGTCCAAGGCTCTCTACTCAGCTCCATTATGAACCATTTGCCCCTGGCTCCCCTGTCTATATCTTGACATCTCCCCATACCCTTCTGCCTTCTCCCAACATGAAAGCCAATCACAGGACATTCTGGAGGTTCCCCACCCCCACACTAGTAAGTGGCACCCTGGGGGAATGAACTAGCCTGGAGAGCACAGCTGGCAACAGCCTTAGGCCTTCGCATTTGCTGCCTTCAGACTCACTCTCTACTAGAGGCCCTGAATGACTGCGGGACTTTTTAAATTGGGAAGAAAAAGAAAACCCAGATGTGGCAGTAATGGGAGCATTGCTAAAAGTCTAGTAAAGTTTTCTTAGTGAACATGTGCAAAAAAAAAAAATTCGATCACTTTTCCTTTAAGTTTTCCCTTTAAATTTACAGAATGTCTGCTTCTCAGAGGGCTAACTAAATATAAAAATCAAAGCCTAAGTTTTACTCAAAAATAACTCAAGCTTCCAAAAAAGAGAGAAACAAAGCAGTTTTGTATCTTTCCCCCTTTTATGCTCAACACTCAAATTTCCATCAACTTTAATTCTCAAACAAGAAATCTCACTTCTCAATACAGAGATGGCCATAGTTTATGCCTTCTGAAGCCTCATCCCAACAGAGCCAAAGGCTTGCCTCCAAATGGCTGCAAGTGGGCACCTGGCTCCCTCCACATAAGGTAGAGGGAATAGCACCTTGTGAAGTCCAGGGCACACTCAAAGGCAATGAGGTCACTACTACCTGAGTGGAAATGGACAATGCCAAGTACGGCTTCTCTTTCCAGCTCTCTCCTGACTCACTGAATGAGCTACGATAACTTACCTGCATATTTATTAGGATATATACTAGCGCAGATCCTCAATTTCCCTATCCCTATAGTGAGGTTTCATAGGAAAGTCAATGGAACTAAGATCAAAAAGTATTTTAAGTTCTTCATGGCCCCCGCACAAGCACGGCACTTGTTTTCACCATTGTTTTATAGGCTCTCCAAAAATGCAGCCCAAACTCCTCAGCCCAGGTAGACAAAGGCTGGCTTGAGTTTCATTACAGAATTCCTTCGAAAGGCAAAAGGGCCAATATCCCTCTGAAAGCTGGAATCCAAAATAACTTTTTACATCCCCCACTCCTGAACAATATTGGAAGCCTTGCTGAGATAGTAGATACAAGTCTGCTCAAATTACCCATTCTAGTTTGGATTCAAAGTCCCTCAGAGCCTTAGAATTCCTCCCTAACCCCTTAAAGTCAGGTCATGCATACAGACTTTTGAAAATCTTAATTTTCTTCCATGTGTATACAGTATACATAGTATATACAGTCGACCAGACCCTGTCTGCCAAATACTATAGGCAATTAAGCAGCATAATTAAGGAGGGCTTCCAGGTTTGAATCCTGGCTTTGCCACTTATCAGCCATGACACCTTGGGCAAGCTCTGTTCTTCAATTCCTCAACTGTAAAATAACAATAATAGTACCTACTCCTTAGTGAGAATGAAATGAGACAATACATGTAAAGCACTAAAAGCAGTATCTGGCACATAAGGACTCGATAAATGTTAGCTTATTATTATTACTATTACTATCCTATTGGGCTATACCCTCCTAGAACCCCATACTCTGGGCCTAAAATCCAATTAATGCATAAGGCAGCCACAGAGGGTAACTTTGATGTCTCCTGCATCCCTAGAATGCTCTAGACCTCCCATAGAGCATTTTATATATATATATATGTCCTATTCCCTCTCAGGTACAACACATTGATGGCCAGAGGTCTTCTTGCCTGTAGACCTTGCTTTCTCACCTGATTTCACCCAAATCAAAAAACTTCTCTTGTAGGAAGTTGTGAGCGTAGACATTAGGAGACCAGGCCTCCACATATCAGCAGTCACTGGGTTCCATACTTCCCTTACTTCTAACAAACAAGTTCAGCTCAAGTTAAGAAACAGAGGGTAGGGCCGACCCCATGGCTCACTCAGGAGAGTGCCGCGCTGGGAGCGCAGTGGCGCTCCGGCCACGGGTTCAGATCCTATATAGGGATGGCCAGTGCGCTCATTGGCTGAGCATGGTACGGGCGACACCAAGCCAAGGGTTGCAATCCCCTTACCGGTCACAAAAAAGAAAAAATAAGAAAAAAGAAATAAAAAATAAAGAAACAGAGGGTAACTCTTCCTCTTCCCTGCCTGAAAAATTCAGTCCTAAAGCCATCAAATGCAGTAGAGGAAGGCAGGTATCTACACCAGCTGGAGTGAGGGGAGCTGGAGGGGTCTGGGAGGTGGTGCCAGAGACCAGGCAGGGTGAGGAGGGTATCCATGCAGAGGTGGGAAGGTGTGGTGTAGATGTCAGAGCCAAGTGGGGGTGTGGAGTGCATCCACAATGGGGGCAGTGTGACGTGGGGAGTCAAGGGCAGGGTAAAAGAGGCACTCATGAGGGGTAAAGGGCAGTGGCAGCAATTGGAGATTAGTTACATAGAGAAGAATTGACCAAAAATGTCCATATATTAAGGATAATGGGAATCAGGCTTCTCACTGTTGGAGAAAAAAGTGAAAATATGGAAAGGCAGAAAAATCTGTGGTGTTGGATTAGAATTGGCAGTAAGAGTGTGAATTCATGGTTTCTGATATAGGCACAGATATTGACACAGATATATAAATCTAGATGTAAATGTGAGTATGAGTACATATACATGCAAATATACATATTCATGCACATATATTTTCTAGCTCTAAGGGCCAAAGAACAGCAATATTAAATAGCAATGAGCACCCAGTTGCCTTCTAAACACTATTCTCCACTAAAAGAACCAGAGCTCCTTGGAGAAATGGCTGATTCCAGGGCTGTGGCACAGAGAATATAAGATGAGCCTGGAAAATCTAGTTGTACCAGAAAGAACACTCAAGAACAATGGGAATGTATCAAAGGGATAAAGAAGCCACCTTGAAGAGATTCCATTGGCCAGTAAATAATTACAATAATGGATTATAAAGCACTGATAAAACAGAAAACCATGAGTCCATAAAGATATAAATTAACAGGTAAAATTAAAGTTTGATGAAGGATATTTACATAATTTCAAAGTATCCCCCATAAAATTCTTATTAATTACAACAGGAAAGCTGGCTGGATATCTCAGTTGGTTAGAGCATGATCCTGATAACACCAAGGCCCAGGGTTTGATCCCTGTACTGGCCAGCAAAAAAAAAAAAAATTACAACAGGGAGTAATTTTATAATGGAGAAGCCTGGCAGACATCACCTTAATCAAGTGATCAAAATGAACACCACCAATAATGGGATAAATAAAAATGATGTACCATCTGTAAAGATGCAATGAGAACAAAGCATCATTTTTGCTGCATTTTTGCTGAAGATGCATAACGTAAATCTAATCATGAGAAAACATCAGACAAACCTTAACTGAGGGACAATCTACAAAACAACCAGCCAGTAGTAATCTTCAAAAGTATCAAGGTCATGAACGTCAAGGAATGTTTACTGAGGAAAGTCTAAAGGAGACTAAACAGACTTGATGACTAAATGCAATCCAGGATTCTGAACCAGATCATTTTGCTACAAAGAACATTCCTGGGACAACTGGCAAAACTTGAATGGGGTTTGAGGATTAGATGGAAGTAACGTATCAATGTTAATTTCCTGATTTTGATGGTTGTTTTATGGTTAAGTAGGAAAATGTCCTTGCTTATAGGAAGTGCACACAAAGTATTCAGGGTGATGGGGCATTCAGTCAGCAACTTAACTCTCAAATGATTCAGGAAGAAAATTCTTTGTACTCCATCCAACCATTATATAAATTTGGGCTGTTTCAAACTTTTAAAAAATTATTTGTTAAAGTCCATATACAATGTGGCTTTAAAAAAAAACAAAACAGAGAACAGACAGTATCTGAGGAAGAGATCTCCCCATCATGCTCGCAGAAGGTATGCTGCATGCTCTCTTCTGGCAGGGAGGCTGGCAAAAGCCAGCCTTCAAAGCATCTCTCAGCCCAAATAGTCTCTCTCTCTATGCAGCTGAGTCTCCATCAGAAGAGCCCCCACTCATGCCCCCCTCACTGCCACTCCTGCCACCATGTAGCCTTCTCAGGAGACACACCTGCACTCCCTGCAGCGGCACCCCACCGGCCCTGGTACCCCCTGGAATCTTATGGATTTCTCTTTTCAGTTGATGTCCTTATACTTTAGTCACAGACTTGCAGAATATAAGTCTGTAGCTTATAACATCAACAGAAACTTTGAGTATCTAGTTCAGGGGCAGAACTCAAAAAAGTTTATGCTTCTGTGTATTTCCACAAACTATCTTTCATCAGAAAACAAGATTTATATACATTTATTCTCAGACATCCTTTCCTTTCTCCTAGCAAATTAAAGCAAGTAAGTAGCCTATGGCAAGGAGGAAAATGAATATTTCTCTCCTCAAAATGAAGGGACGAACCCCCCAATGGAGACAGGGGAAGGGTAAATAGGGACTGCCACAGGGCCAACCTGATTTGGAGAAACAGGCCTGAGCCACAGCCCCTGGAGGATGGTCTCTGTGCAG